AATAGAAGAAAGAAAATCTGTTGTAGTTAAAAAGAATGCATTAACTCTACGTAGTACAAGACAATTATTTACTATTAACTGTAGTCAGCGTCTTTTTCGTGTGAAATTAAAATTAAATTATCTATTTCAGACTGCAATCTATCTCCGTTCTAAATGTTATCCATATCCATCCAACGGTTCTGAAGCAACGCATAACATACTTTATTCCATCCCAACTTTCGTGTTTATAATATTAGTATTAAGATTTTAACCGATTTTTCCAACCAACCAACGATTATGAATTTATGTATTCATATAATTTATATGTATTTCACATGTTGTATAAAACCTTTATGCCTCAACATAATCCACTGTAACTGTTGACAGACGTATCCAGAAACCAATTGATTGGACAAATAGATTAATAGACAAACAGTTAGCGAGCACCGCTCACAGACTGAACACGTTTGACCTCTATAACATGCGCAAACATATTAATTATTTCATGTTATTTTTACATGGACAAATTACTTATTGGAAAAGTGTGCAATAGACAGCCTCTTTTACACATTTTGTGATGCAATTTAATTTTTTTTAATTGACAGCAATGGCGTTAGGGAAGGATGAAGTAGGGCGACCATCCAAGGCGCAAGGCAAATTTCCCACCACACCAAAATAAAGGGGGCGCCTCAAAATGTTGTTCATGGCGCTCGAAATTATGAAACCTGCCTTGTTAATTGTTATGCATTTGCGGCTACTAGATAGTAGAATTAGAAGAAAAAACAAATCGACGAGACCAAAGAAAAAGTTACATCTCTTATGAGATCTCTTTTCGCTGTAGCTCATTTCGTCAGAGGGGTCTTAATCTTCATTAATTTCTTGTTTAAACTTGGATCTATCCGCACATCTATAAGTCAAAGGCAAACATCAAGCTAAATGATAAATATCTCACTCCATTAACTCTTACAAAACTAATTTCCGAACATTTCTAACAACATTCAATCAACAACCTTATCTCTTAACAAATAAGATCGAAACTTGCAGTAAACATACAATAGTTATGAACTCATATTGGGCCAAATTTAATTAGACTTGTGTGACGGGAACTAATTACTTAGTCAAGGGATGACTGATCTTGTAAAGAGGGTCGCGGATCGAGCGATCATTTCTAAATTGATGAAGACGAATATCAGACGGAACCTTTGTTCTTAGATAAGGAAGGATAAGAAGGAAATGACACAAGATAACTTACGAGATGTAACATTAACTTATATACTAATAAGTGCGAGATGTCTCATGGAAATACAAATGACTCGAATAGGGTAAGTTACATCTAAACTTAGAATGATTTAAGTTAATTCTTATTAAAAGCTAAAGAAATATAATACCGAAGCTCAGAAAAATCTTAAGTACTTTTTTCGTCCCGAAGTCCACTCGAGTGACAAAAACGCGGAGCCCTAGACAGGAGGGGTCTGAGTGGTCTCTGGAAGTCCCGCCGCCGCTGGAGGCAGACGACTCAAGTACCCAGTATTACATTCATGATATTTCGGACTTTAAAGTTAATTTGATCAAGTAAAAAAAGAAGCCTTTGTTTATCTTACTACGAGGTTTAGAGCTGAAATCAATATGCGATTCATGAACCGAACATTTTTTTAAATTGTTTAAGATTTCGTGAGACACAATAATATAAGGTACAAAACAAAAAGCCTCGCCATATTCAGTGGAATTTCATGAAATGGCATTAATTTCTTTGAAATGAAAAGTTTACCTTTCAACATTTTCAAACTGGACTTGTAACAACTTGGATTTCATCAAACTTGTAAAAAAAGGTCTTGTAAATTAGAAAACAAAAAAGCGGCCGCCCTGAGCGCTCACACAAAGCAAGTGCGGAGTAACGAATGGGCGTGACTTTATCAGGCTACAAAGTGTAAAGCCCCGCGCCGGTAGAGGTCGCTGTAAACTGGCGCAGTGGGACACATACGACCTTTTACACAAATAATAGAGAACAGTGCTATTTGGTGATTACAAATGTTACTTTAATCAAGCTACTGGAAGGACTAAGGCTTTCGAATTATAGAAGTATTATCGATAATAAATACGTCGTAAAGAGTTACATCTGTTGCGCTTCTAAATAGATGTAACTGTTTTCATCAGATGCGTCGATTTATTAAGTATCGCTGTTAATTTTCTTTTTTTATGTACTTCAATAACTTATCAGCCTGTCTCTGCTGACTGTACCTATATATCACAAACTACAAAGAGCATTGTCATTGTCTGTCGGTAAAATCTGCAGCCGGAGGACTTCAAGTGTGCTCATGTTAGGGCGATTCTTAAAGGACCCGTCGAGGATTTTAGTTTCTCCTTCGTAAATCTTTGAAGAATACGTTCCACCGATTTTTGACTTGATGATACCCCTCAAGATTTTATTAAGATTTTCATTATTTATTTTTATTCTTAGTGAAAGTTATAGTAATAATACTTAGTTTAGTATGTCCTAATATTTTTATTCAATTGCATATTTCATTGCTTTAAAATATTCTGCAGGATGGAGAAATATATGAAATAAAATTTCGAAAAGCATTTCATAAATCGTCATCTATTTTGAGCCCTTGTTTTTGTCGCCGACCCTAGCAATCTATTCTATCATTATTTCTTCCACTGAAATCAACACCAATGTCCACTTTGGCAAATATTGAAGTAACAATTTCTGTTTGATGTACTTATAAAGCATATTTATATATACATATTTACATTAAAAATTGCAACTAATTCACGACTACATTTCGTTGGTAACACTTCCCGCGATATACGACTTCTTTTCACCTATCTTTTTTACATAGTTATAAAGGCAAACGTTCTTAGTGGCCAGTATACCATGCAAAGACATGGTATACTGGCCACTAAGAACGTTAACGCCGTGTCGTGTCACGTGAGTACCCACAGGACAGCAGGGATACTGACACAATTGTTTATTAAAAACGTACTTCAATACATCAATCTAAAGCATGGTTAACTAAAAAAGCGTAAAACCTATTGAACTTAAATTGTAAATAATTGTTTCAAATTATCTGGCATAAAATATACCGGCATTGAACAGTTAATTTACAATTTTGAACGCATCACAATTCTCTTTTGTTTTATAATCGTGTTCATCTAAACTCATATCTATTGTTCAATATATAAAGGCCACGCTTTTAACGTGGTCGTGTATATTTGACATTATTTTTTATGGAGAATCTTAAGAGTTACTCGCATGGAAATGCTTACTCAAGTTTGGTCGAATTCGCCGCAAAATCAACATCGTGTTATGCTACTGCTATAACTTAGCCTAAACTTAATTTTTAAAAGAACCAAAAAGACTTTGGCTAGCGCCATCTGTTGGCTGCGTTTTTAAACAAAGATTATCTTAGCTTTAGGCTTTACTAAGTTAAATATATGCAGAAAAATAAAAGTAACATTGCATGGATATCTTTCAGATCTGTAAAACAATAACAGAAGGGGGTTCTTGTCATGTCAACAGGTATTTTTCCCATTTTTAATTCCGGAAAAATTCTTAAAAAGACACTATAAACCTTTGTACGCGATGAAGCTTCGTTTAGTTTCCTCGCAGCGGGAGATCGAAAAGTGGCTGTCATACTCAGAGCATGGCTTAACATCTCTTGTTTTTCAACTCTTTTTAAAATGTTGCAAAAACAAGTGACAATCAGTGAGTTTCAATTACCTATACAACACATACTGTTTTCTCTATTCTTTTCATCGCGAGTGAAAGAGACGTCTATACATTTATAAAAAAAGATACGTATGCCTTGTTATTTTCTGTTTTTCTTTGTGATAACTTGCCTTTATACAAAATCTGGAATCAGCAACTTACCTGAAACATAAAAGTACAAATAAGAAAAAATTATAAGTAAATATGTTTTTATTGACGTTGTAAAATATAATCCTTTTAATTTAAATTGTACTAGTAATACTATAAATAACATTAGGTGATGTGACATTTTAAATTAGTTTCTTTAAAAATATATTCGTTTTCCCCATATGAATTAAGGTTAACCCTACATTAAATGTAGTTATTAAGTTTCCCAAAACTAATATGAAAACAAAGTGAAAGTGAAGATGAGATATAACAAACACGCAGACATGTAATTACAACTGGAGCGGTTAACTACAAACTGTAACTACTTGTAATTGCACTAGCTCTAACTCCGCGACGGTTTAACGTGCTATTAACAAGTTAAACACGGTTAAGATATAACTTAACTTTAGTTATGCTACTCTGAAATTTTAGTACAATTAAGATACGGTTTAATAACATTTCAGTATATATAACAATATTGACACATAATAAATCGATTTGGAGGACGAAAACTGTTGCGTTCACCACACATAGAGTGAGACAAGGATTTAAGATGACAAATAATTTATTGATAACTTTAGGAAGGTGGATCACATATATCATGTTACGAATCTTACGTAATTATATATTATCTGGCAATTTATTACTGTATACTCGTATGTTGATCTAACCGCCCTACACAATGAGACATACCTTGTAACTGACGACCACAATAAATGATTTCATCAGTCCAAATAGAGTCTTATTCTATTGTTTTCAATTTAGAAATAATAAAGAAAAGTTCCACAACAAAACTGACGACTTAGTAAACTTAACGATAATATTTTATAACACTTAAAAATAATTATAATAAATAAATTATTACGTATAGTATGAATGATGTAAAATAAATTCTTTATGAAGTTAATCAGCTTTCGTACAAGTATTTTACCAGTTACTGGTAAAATACTTGTACGAAAAACTGTAGTTATTTTTGTTTTCTTTTTTTCTTTAAACACATATTTTTGTGTGATTGTTTCGTCTCTGAAAACCCAGATGAATACCGTTTTATTTGATACTATTAAAACGATATTTTTTTCTTATTAATAAAAATGTCCTAAGTTCGCAGTCACAGTTGTCGTATAACGAATAATAACATAACGTATATGATCAGTGCGCACGTTGAGTGATCTTACAGGATTTCATAATAGTCTCAGCTCACGGACAAACGGCCGGACGGACGGACGGGTACAGCGGTGTACTATGCCATAGCTGATATGAAGTTAGCCACAATCACCTTCGTCAACCTGATAGTTCTCTCCAGTGCTATTATAGGTGATAAAGAGAAACATGGTAAGTCTTACTTTCCTTAATCATATCAAATATTATAATAAAAAAAACTTTATTTTGAGATATGTAAACCTGAACTAAAGGATTTTTTTCTATATTTATTTATTTTTTTATTATAATATTTGATAGATTATCCAGCTATATATACATTTAACAATAAAGTACAGTAATAATAATCCCATATTTTAAACTACTAAATATTTAACTCTCTATGTGCATATAATTAGCTAAAACTCCTGTGTTTATTTCTGCCATAATTGTAGCGGGTTTTCCTCTTAAACATGTCTCGGGACAGATTAAGGTTCAAGGTCACATAAAGGACAATTTAATTAGTATTTGTTAATTGCTATAACAAATTGTATACAGCGTTTAGTATTATTGGATGTTAATATATCGAATATATAATTGGTAAACAATATGTTACTATTATACCGTCTTATTGTTGAATTTTGGAACACGCTGTATACTCAAACAATTATGTTGTTGTAATATTATTTGGCTAGCGTGTTAGAATCTAGCCTTCGATAAACACCTAAAAAAACCACGCAAATAAGCTGAAAAGCTTTTTAAAGCGGGTCATGAAATGTCCGGGACTGAGAGGCATCGTAAGTGGATTTTCCGGATGAGGTGATGAATAGGAAGGGAAAATGTTCTCTTTCTGTGCATCCCGTCTTCCGTCGATTAAAGGTAGGCAACGTATCTGGAATTGCGTATATCTATGGACAATGTCTTCGCTATTTCAGCGATTTCAGGCGGCCGCTCGCTCGTTTACCAACTCATGATATAAAAAGGGTCTTGAGACGGACGAACAACAAAGTGATCCTATAAGGGTTCGTTTTTGTTCGTCCGTTCTTTCGAGGTACGGAACCCTTAAAAGGTGTATAATTTGAAAATGTAATATCACTCAAAATAGTTATATGATGATATGTTTGAAAACATAATATAGACATCAGTTGATATATCTAGACCAAAGTTTCCCACACTTTAGGAGATGAACTGTTTTATAAACATTTTAGATTAATTTGCCTCCTGCGATGTTTTATAAGTCGTTTTCATTAGAAGACATATTTTTTTTTATTGATGTGTCAGACAAAACAATTGAAACTGTAGAAGTAAATTAAAATTAAAAACAATTGTAAAAACACACTAAAATTAAATACCATGTTGTCATCACAACAATTGACGACACACATTTTGAACAATCCGATTTATAAGGTTACATTTTATATGAAGATCCCTTTTAGATTTAACTTGATTCGTCATAGAGATCGATTTTTAAGTTTTCCAAAAATTTTTAGAACTGTTAGAAAATCCGACACTGTGCGTACCGGCGCAACACTTCGCGCCAAAGAATTCTAATTAATAATGTCTAAAAGTACTAAACCTTTTAATTTTAATCTACAAATTAAATGTATATAATAATTAACAACAAACAAAACAGTTGTCAATAGCTATAACATTTACAACAATGGTATAAACCATGTCTTTAGGGATAGAGATTGTATTTCGACTTGTTTATTTTATTGATAACTACAATTTCCACCTGGTTACATTAACGAATTACTGTTCAATATTTGATTTGAATAAATAAAACGTATACCCACGTAATCCCTTTATCCCTGAACAATTTACAAACGAGTGGGAACCCATCATAAATTCACATAAAATAAATATTTATGCCGGGAAAAAAAACCAAACCGTTTTATACAGCGAGAAGCAACGGTTTATCGCCGATTTTAATTGAATTAGCAACACAAATACGCGTAAAGCTTTTTAAATATTTGTAACAACGCAATACTTTAAGCAATAAGGAAAATATAAAAAAATAAAACTGTCTGAAGTAAAATGTTAAGTATATAGTAGTTGTCGCCCGGCACCGCCCTCGCCGAATTAAAAAAAAAACATCATTAGTAGCCTATGTATTCTTCTAGACTATGCTCTATGTCAAATAACATCGAGATTCAGCCTTTCTGGAGATACCTACCAACATCCATCCTTTTATCTAAACATTCGCATTTATAATATTAGTAAGATGTAAGATTCTAAATAATATGATTTCCTGGTACTTCTGCTTTGTAAAAAGGCGCGAAACGTGAATTATCTGTGAACAAAAGACTTCCAGAGACATACTGAAGATATAAGAATACGATAGATAAAAAATATACAAAAGGCTTTATATGTATATATATCATATTTATGTACAAAATTTATTTGTACATAACAAATAAAATAAGGAATAATATAACATTTCTGATATCAGCACTGTACATTGTTACAGTTCAGTCTTAATGAAACAGAACGTCTTTATCCGATAAATTTCAATTTTAATAAAATTCCTTCGTTATTATATAAAAACATTTTTATTAAATTAAAAAAAAATATTCACTGAAAGGAAATAACTTTCTTAAGAATTTTGTTTCTTTAAAACAACGCCATTTCTTTACATTTTCTTTACTCAAGGGACGGCATTTATAATACAGTCTCCAAGAAATTGTCGTCTGTCGCAAGATTTATGAAATAAATAAAAAATCCTAAATAACTATTCAATTTCTTGGAACCATTATTCAAATCAACGAATTATGTAAATGATCGACGTTGTTTGATGTTTAGACAATTTCAAAAAAATATTGAAACAAGTCGGTCTTAATTTCAATTTGAATCGACATGTTGGAAAAGAAAACAATAATACTCCGACTTAGAGTAGCCTCTTTCATTTTAAATCCAAACCGACTAAAAAGACAACATAGGAAACAACAGTACCCTCTTTTTTCTCTCTTCTTCGAAAACAGTTCAGAAGACGGCTATCAGCCGGAATCTTCTGCATTCGGTGCTCACTACCAACATCGTATGAGCCTGGTTTACTTTATTAACTAGCATATTCTAACCAAATTCTGTATTGTATTCCAGACCGGTTCATAATAGCGTGCCACACAACAGACTTTGAGTGCTTCAAGCGGCAGTACCGGTCGCTCCGGGACAAAGTGCTGCTGGGCAGTTTACAGTTCGCCATCGATTTTTACAAGCCATACCTCTTCCGCTATGGGGACAGCGGTACTTGCATCAAACTCTCAGGCCTCGAGGAGAGCGAGCTCGTTGGCATCAGGTACCTTGACATCTGTCACACGAGGACAGAATAGCATACAAAGAGTAGTGCTGATATTGTTTAACACACACTTACTGTCATAATAGTACTGTTCTGTCTTTGTTCTAACTAGCGTTATGTGTTAATGTTATGAGTAAAAATTCACCCGTTTCGTAGAAGAAGGAATTCAAGAAGCTAGGAGGTAAAACTCCGTAAAACCATCGGAATTCTTCTTTTCTTACCTGTTAAACTGTTACGACTTAAACGAAAATATTTAGTTTATTAGAACAGTTAAGACATTAAGCTGCACATTAATATTCTATCGTATAACACAACAATAAACAACGTTGAAAACAGCAAGTTAACAATATAACATAGCAAAAGCAAAGGCGGAGGCGGAGAGATCGCAACCAACATAACATTGTTAACTTTATTGCAGAAACTTTTGCGGCGGGAACGAATCTCCAGGGAAAACACTTGATTGACCTATTTAAACGAATCTAAAATAATTAACAGTTGAACATTGTATTTAAATGTATGATATGTAACTTAAAGGAATAGGCAGAGAATATGAATTTCCATTTGGGATGAAATTAAACTTGTTGACATAAATTCACCCATTCACATCAAGATAGTAATTTCTACTTCTGTTGTGTTGTCAGCATGGACAGCGACAGCAAGGAGTATCTGCTGACGCTGGAGCTACCGCTGCGCATCCAGCAGACCACCAACAAGACGGAGATCTGTATGAAACCCGACGTTGGTACGTTACACTTACTTTACATCCATAAATCAACAGTCGATCCTCCTTGTCAGGGATACAAGAATTATACATCTCTTCGTGTTTTGTTACTTACTTGCTCCTTCCCAAATGATCTGTAGCCGAAATCCATATGCGAGCCTAGTGTTTGATCCAAAAAATATTAAATTACTTTGTACCAAATGTAAACTACCAAAAGTATCCAATCTAGTATAGATTATGCTTCACGTAAGTGTAAAACGTTTTTAAGTTGTAAAACGATTTTCTCTAATTGTGTAATTTTTATATTTGCTTGTAAATTAGATTGATCCTGCGTCTACACGATATTTTAATGACACAATCGCGTGACATTTTCGTCTCGTACGAAGTGGAATAAGCTTTGGACATTAAAAGTATTATATCACTCAATATAATTGGGTCACACCGTCGATTCTGACGCAATAAAGCTTTAAAAGCATTCTGACACGAACCAGATAAAGTTAAATAGAATATTAGTTTGAGGGATCTGTCGGTATATTTATTCTTTATTTTGGTCATAACGGAAAATCATATTGTCAACAAAATCCTGTCCTCTTATTCTTGACGCACATTATCTCTAATACTCGCGTTTTCTTTTATTTTTACTAAAGCTTGCTTACTTAAAACTGTTTGTTTTTAAGTGTAAACATTTAAAAAAATAGTTTTCAATCATAAATAACTTATACTTCTGCAAATTAGACACACCTTCGCAAAGATTCAGTCATTATCCGTGATGTATTTACTTGTCTAACTTACACAGGAGTACAGGAAAATAACATTAGTAGAATGTCTTTTATTATATTGTATACGGAATTCTAATTATTATAGTTTCAAATCAAAGTTTACGCCATCAAAATATTTTATATAGCTTCCTGTCTCTAGTATTTAGGTATTTAATATTATTCGCTTTTACAAGCTACGTGTCGTTAACATGTCACTGAAAAAAGAATTTATAGCCTGAGAGAGTAAATAGTTTTATGTCCAGAACGAAATAAAAAACTATAGTTGTGTTTTATATTTATTTATACTAAAACGATTATTTAATAATCTACACTATTTGTAGATACGCTACATTGCTATTAAAATAATTAAGGAACTATATAAAAGTACATCAAATAAAAATGATATGTAAATGCCATTATAAACTAACATCCATATCACCTGTGTTGTTCAAAGGAGAAAAACCTGCAAAAAATCATATTGTAATTTTATAATTCAAGTATTTTGACAGTTCTGAGAAAACATGATTTTATTTGGTATTCTTATGAACCTTTTTATTGTTTCAGAGTTTAAAAATGTCGGCCCCCACATAGGTAAGTCATGTCACAATTTATATTTTATTTCGAATATAAAAACTGTTTTAATATGTTCACATACAAGTTTAACATAGTAAAGTTTCACTGAAACTAGGATCAGTTTAATCGTTATTGCCCAATTTATCCGCAAACCCTTTTAGCATAACATTTATAGTAAATCAAATATTCAAGGAAAACCCAAAGGTAGATCTCCCTCGGGCTATCGCACAGCCGGGATGATCCGTCAAAATGTAAAGTTATCGCCCACCCATCCAGCTAGCCTTTGGTTATAAAATGCCAATCATCCTTCACAAACGTATTTCAAATATTTATAACCGTTTTTATTATTTCAGGTCCGTATCGCAGCTTCAATGGAAACGGTGGGTACATGGTTAAAATTCATCTGGAAATAATTTTTTATTTATTGAAAAGTCTTTATAGCCAAACAGAATAATGGATCTCGACCATTTTGACTTCGCCACATTATTTTAAAATAACATATTTAACAATTGTCTACAAACTACAAACTAATAAACGCAATAGCTAATGAAAATCTTGATTTATAATTCAGAAAACGTTTAATACATATTTTGTTAGTGAATAGTTCTTTAAAAAAATATCTTCGGGATGATCTTAACAATCAATTATTGAGTTTAGCTGTTGACTAAGAGTTGACAATATCTGAATATGTTGCAGCTAATTTCCATTTAAGCATGTATTAGTTTAACTATCGTAGTACTAAGTGGACCCACTTAAAGCCTCATACCCACTTAACGCCTCCCAGCTAATTGATCCGTGTCTCCCGCGAAAGCCTCTCGATACCGGAAGTGGTCTCCTTTGTACGCGCTGTCCTTCGCCGCGGATATACCCGAGACTAAGCGGCCCTTCACGGATAACAAGATGCGCCATTGTTCTATGTATTGAATTTCTTTGTGTGAACTTCTTTTTTTATTTTACAATATCCACAAAGGCACTTAATATTCCATAACAAAATGGATATAAAATATGGAATTAACTTTGCTTTTTTCGTAATACTGCAGTAAAAAAATGTATTTATAGTAAAAATATTAAGTTAAATAAGATCCAATAATGTTTTATTTACAGCAACAATAAAAGCGACTTTCCCTTACGAGCTGCGGAAAAGAAAAGGCGACATATATTTGCTGCTGAAAGAGGAAGACCTAGACGTAATCCTCGACATACCAGACCTGAGGCCACCCATCCGATTGATGTCGAACGAAGGTCAGAACACCTAAACATCATGTCATTTTGGTTAACTGTATACCTAATGTTTACATTGCGTTCTTACCAAATAGTCACAAATTGCCTTAAACTTGTATTAATAGATGTTATTGTCTCTTTTCTTGGCAAAGGAAACGAAAGAAATATCTGGCTAAGCGACAGCTTTAAGCAGTCATCGTGATGCCGACTGTTTTGTTCGCAGGCGGTAGCGGCTACGAGATATCGGAATGGGCGTACGAGGTGGTTGAGCACATTGACGCGGCGCGACACTTTGCGTTACCCTACACCACCAACATACGACTCTTCTCTTCCACCGTGCCTGTACATAAGTATGTAGAATAATATTCTTTTCAAACCTTACTGACTTAAGGTCATCTACACAATGCCCTCCCGCTACACCCCAACACACCTAACATTGTTTTCTGTGCTTCGACTCGCGCGAACTTACGAGCCGCCAAGATATATGAATACTACTATACCATGTTACATCAGTAATCTAAGATTATGGTTATCTTCCTGTCAGTAGATGCTGTCGTCTGAAATCGTAGTCATATTTTTTTTTGACTATTCTGCAAATATTTTTAACATAGATAAATAGCTTAGTTTAGTAATTACCTTGTTGGATAGAGTTACTGGAATGGAATTCTGTTTCATTTCGGTACCAATTAAGGCGCAGGCCACATTTCAGTCGCCGCGCCGGGGCCGTGGGTAAATAACATGGCAGGTGTTCAAATGTCACAACTATACTGTTTTAGATCTAGACAGAACAATATCGATAGTAATCAATTTAAATCCATATTCGATTTTATTTTATCGAAGTAATTTATGACTATGTTTTAATAAAAAGGATCTAATTTAGTTCAACGAAAAAGGATAAAAAATATATGCAAACTTTTGAAATCTGTTGAAAGTTAGTTCAGAAAGATAACTTTTGAACTGATTAATTTTCTATAGATTAAAAAGATTTTCGACGTTTAAGAATTTTCGTATTATTTATCTTTTAATAAATTCATAAAGTCAATTTTAACATGTCACCAAATGGTGAGGGTTGTAAAAGTGAATGGACGGTTGATTGCGCGCGACGTGAAGTCAACCTGACGAGCCATTTAGGTTACAATTGTAACCCTAATTCAACCTCCCTCCCCATCACCCCTCTTCTCACCCACCAAAGTCACTTCAATATATATTTCATACATACTGTAAAGTTGTTAAAATGTTGTAAATATCGTCTTAACAAAGCAGAAGGCAAAAATGTAACGAATTTGTTTTCTACAATACTTTTGCTAAGCTTAATACTTATAATGATGTAGGAACTAAAATTCTAAAAAAAGTAATTCAACTTTTTAATGAATGAAAACTTGGAATACAATTCTGAGGTTGTTTGTTATTTGTTAGTTTTCCACAAACTTTATAAAACTAAAACTCCTTACATGAAGTACCAGGAAATCATAAAAAGCGGGAACAAATTAATGTTCCGCAAAACAAGAACAAAGGATATGTCTCTTTGTCAATAAATTTTGCAGAAACATACTTTTTGTTTTTGGAAGCATCACTTGAAAAATACACCTGGTTGAAAGGGAATATGTTTCCTATTGCAGTTGAATACGGACTTTGTACTCTTGTTTTTAAGTCTATTTTCGCTTGTGGATTTATTTTAATAATTCTTCGTTTATTTTCGTATATTTGGTGCGGCGTGAAGTCGGAGGAACGTGCAGGATGTGTGCTGTAGCGAGCCGCCTATGACCCAACATTTCTCATTTAGACGACTACGTTCACTACGCTATTATGACTACGTAGGATATGCCTTTGATGTACGATAAAAAGTAAAAGGGAAAACATATATTAAACAGAAAACGTAACTCTGATTTCACGACGAAATACAATTTGTTAATTTTAAAATAAAAGAAACATGTTTATGGTAGGTTTTGAACAATAGTATCTATATTGTCATATTCGACTTTCAAATCTATCTTGACTTACTTAACTTAAAGCCCTATGACCCCGTATTGAGGCAAAGGGCGTCCACAGTGCGCCTTCTACTGTGTTCGTTTCTTGAATCAATAAAAAGCAGGTGATTAGCCTGCAAATCTATATTATTAACTAGTAATTTTTTCAGTATTATTCCAGTGTTATTAAACGTATGGTTACTCTACTCTCAACCTCGATGCCCGTCACTTAAAAACAAACATACACCAAATGTGAATGTTTTGCAAAACTCGCCGCGCACGAGAAACTAATCGTTGTTTTTAATTTAAAATATAAAATTAAAAGAAAATCCCATCTCTAGTAGGAAATGATACAACTGACAAAATGCACAGATATATGTAGAAATAAGAACGCAGAACTTATATGATCACTCAGAGAGCTTAGTTTAGATTTAGTTAGGATATTCTATAATGAACGACTTAAGTAACCAATTAATAGCTTTGAATACAGATAGTAATAATAACAATGTGTTAATACTGTTTATGTGAATTATTTCAGATACCTCTTGTTGTATCCAGAAGAAGAATACGCCGATCTGAAGTTTGCATTCTACGATTCCGACTAATAAACCTTAGAAATAATTGATATTGTTTTAATTATTATTCGTTTAGTTTGTATGTCGTTTGTTGCTTTACTTCTCAACCCCTCTCTAAGTATCATTTTAGAATTTAGAAAGAAAAAGATAGTCAACAGGTCCGTGACTTCTTCAATACTCGGACAAACGTTTGAATGACCTATGTTGATAAATGATCCCGGAACATTAGTGATTTCCACTACCGGCCTCTAAAGATGTAGTCATGCTAACTTCTTAACGAATCTTATGTCGTAGTTTAGATATACCGCTGAGCATTAATAAATTTACTGCATAGTTGCAGTAGGTGTTTTCTAATATTTAAGAACTGTAATTTTTTTAGACCACATCATTACTTAATATCAGGTGGGTTTGTAGTCAAGTGCTAGCTTATTCAACTTAAAAAAATGTACAAACCTTAAACTTTCTTTCATACTTTTTTCTATCATAAATTAAAATTATATGTTTTACTCGAACTGTAATGAACTTCGCAATATTACACGTTCGAGTAAGCTCTGGATAATGTTTTAAAATGATTAATACGAGGAACTTGCTAGTTAAAATATTTTTAATAACTTACATAAGTAAAACGTAATATTCAACATCCCCTCGCATTTCGCAGTTTATATGTTAAGTGCGGCCTCTCCTCCAATGTTTGCTTTAATCAGAAACGTAACGAGACAAGTCGTTTGAAGCGAGGCAAGAAAATAAAACTGCCTTTTATAATTACTAAAAGAACATTTTATATAATGAACACATACGATGCGATTACATACCCCATGTTGTGGAAGGCTTTAGGAAGGCTTAAGTCTAGTGGACTGACATAGACTAATCATAAAGATGTTAAGTTATATTTAATTAAATACACAAATAAATATTTATACTAATTTATAACGTCATTCTTTAATTCAGTTCCAAATGATAAATAATAAAATAAACAAAGTCGCAAACACCAAACGCGAGATGACATTTTACAATAGTTAGATCCCTCGATAAGGACCAGAGTAGTTACAATTAGTTAGGGCTCTATTCATCGTACTGTAAAATCTCTGTTTTCCCACTCACATTGTCCTGATAATCTTTATATGCTCTACTGAATATTATTTAGCTAAAGAGTTTTGTTTCCCTTTTACGTTTTTTGTTATTTCATATTAGAACGTTAAAGCTAAATTACGTACTGTGAAGAGCGCAATTAAATTACCTTATTAACCCCCAGCACCGGGGGCGGTTGCCTTTAAAAATAATTAATTATCGCCCTCCTGCCTTACGCCGGTAATTCACTCGGCCACCGACAAAAACTTGCAGAGTTTCTTACACGTTAACTGCATGTTATAGTAATTAATGATAGCGGGTAGCGGAAAATAATTTATCTAGAGATTATTTAAACCTGTCTATTTTATCATCATCAACTTACTATACATCCCCAACCTTAAGTTACGGGTGATTAGGTAATAGTCAACTACGTTGGTCCAGTGCGGGTTGGTTGACTATACACATATCTTTGAATCTCTTCTCAGATATGTGCAGGTTGCATCACGATGTTTTCCTTTAATATAAAAACGTCAGATCCTGTCCATTTAGAACTATATAAATAATTTGGTATGCAACATCAAAAAATTGAGATACTGCAATGCAACGGAACATCATAATTAAGCGCTAATAAGTAAATAAGTATTTAATATTTAGGTGCTATACTTTAGACTACAGAATGTCTAGAAAGGTTTTAAAAATGCTATTGGAATATTGTAGTGAACGAAGTTTAAATCAATTGTATTCATAGAAGGCAAGGTAAATAAATTACGTAACTCGCTTTCGAGTAAATACCATGCGCTCTACCTTAGGTCGAAATAACGCGTCGGTTAACTCCGGGGTTAAGGAAACCAAAGTACCCGTGAAATATAATAAATTATATTCATACATACAATGTATATTTATCTTGTGAACTCAATACAGATTAGATTAGAAATATACTTAAATAATAAATTACTAATAATGTATAGTAATATAAACCGTGTCTCTTACACAAGATCATAATTTTCAATTCTTAAGCACTTGTTTAAATTCATAGCGACTGAGAATTGTTACCAAGTCAAGTAACAACAAATTACTCTAACATTTGAGCCACAAGATGCTATCCTCATAATTATAGTCGACAACAAAACAGAATTACACGTTTATGAAGTTGGGAACAGCTTACAAGAAATTTCAGTACATAAATAAGGTTAAATGAGGTCTTTAGCAGACACGCTGAATTCCGTTCATTAGGCCCGGGCAAGCCTTTTAACTGCCTCAAGGAAAGGCTCCCGGGGCAGAGGGGCACTTTATACCACAGCGTATGGTCCAAGTTATAAGCGGATAGATCCATAAAAAATAAACTTTTATCTTTTAAATTCCGTTTGATTTACAAAGTAGGTGTTCAGTTAAAAAAACTATCAAAATTTCAAAAAAGAAGCGTTGTGTACTTGATTTCCATGTGGTTTTATTCAAAGAAAATTTGAAACATCTTAAAATCTAAATTGAAATAAGTTTTTTATCGCTAGAAATTTCTTGTCATCTTTAACTTGTACCAATCGCTATTGTAAGTTCAGAGTATTTCGCAAAAGTACTCTTTATGAATGGCTCAGTAATAATTCTCATCGTAGACCCCGTCATTGTGACGATTTTACGAGGCAACTCGAAGTTGTAATAAAATGGAGTGGGTCGCGAGACTTCGCAGCTCTATGATCTACGTTTTACGTTCAACATGGTGAAGATTTTACTACAACTCTTGACACGCTGAAGAGGTTTTTTATAGTACTAGAAGATGATAAAATGTGACGAAAACGTGACCTTTCTTGTTACTTAAGAACAACTGACGGTAAAACTGAACTACAATTATTATTTCGTGTTGTACAACAGCACGTATCCGGTGATGCCTTAGATTAAAGAGCTTCAGGTTATGCTCCATCACATCGTCTTTAAGAATCATAGTTTACTTTGTACACCTCTACCAAAGTTTACACGATGTTATTACCTTCAATAATTTATATGAAAGTTTACGTCTTACTAGGTCTCAGTCACGATTCCCTGCACGCGGAGTTAAAAACTTAATAAGTAGTCTGCGTGTTTAATTTGACTGTGCTCTACATCTTTGTAAATTTTCGATGAGATTCGTTTAGCGGTTCTGCAGATACCTTTCAACAAAAGTCCATCCATACATCCAAACATTCGCATTTATTATATATCTTATTAGGATAAGACTAGTAAGAAGTAAGATCTAGTAAGAAGTAAGGTGTAGTTTCAGAAATCTTTCTCCCTTAGTGGCATTTAACTACTAATTGTAAAGTTTGCCAAAGTGTAATAATATCTGACAAACATTAAATCCACACGAGGGCAGTAAACTGGGCGTTACGCGACATTATGACGTCGCGAGAAGTTTGCGTCGGCAACAGGTCCCTATTGTCGCGAGCGGTTTATTTACTGCCTAAACTTTACCAATATTAATATTATATTATAATAATAATACAAAAAGATTGAATATCCATGTGTAAAAACAAAGGAAGGTAATATATTTATTTTCCCAACTTGATAGACATTCGTTATCTTAATGTATATGAATAACAGTAATCGAAATTCTCAACATGGTACATGTTTATGTATTCAAGTATTTGACATACGATATCTGATCTAAGAATTTATTCTATCCATCGCAAAGATCACAGATAGTAAAGCATCAATTGATAGCGGAGCAGAGCGAGGGCAAAACGCCAGGGGCAATATTGGCCGCAATATCCAACGACCGGACACCTCATCGCCAACAGACGAAATGGCACAATTAATATTCGATCCTAGAGATCGATACGAATATTAATTTAATTTCTATTAAACGGAGTACAAACCTATTCAATTGCCCACTAAATTGTGTTTTCTATTGCTATTACGAACTTTAGGTCAGTTGAATTAGAACCGAATGGATTAAAATGTTGTAAATA